GATGAGGGCAGACTTGACACAGGCCTCCAGCAGGCAGGCCAGCTCTCAGCCTTTACACTGCACAGAGTTGACTTGAATTGTAAAATAAAGTATGCGTGGTTCATATGCAGTGTTTAAGAAAACATTCAGAAACCAAGATGTGGGTGGCATACACTCAGGAGGCAGAGGCAGGAAGCTCAAGTTTTCAAGGCCAGCTTTGGCTGCAGAGTGAGTTTACATTCAATCTGAGCTGTGTGAGACCTTGCTTGAAAAAATTAGAAACAAAAACAAGCATTGAGAGTGAAGGTTGAATCTGTATTCATTGTAGATCCCAAGCCTTTTTTTGTCCTTGTTTATCTTTGCAATTTTCCCAAAAATAGAATTGTAATTCTCATTTGCTTTTTTATATTTTTTTTGCATTTTATTTTTATAATAATCATACATTTCTTTGTTAATAACAGTGGTTTTCTGCAGAGGCTTCCCAAAAGGGAACTTGAGCTGTACCTATACGTTTTTAGTCACAAATTTCCCATTGCGGTAAGTGTTACCATCACCTACTCTGACTACCAGTATCAGAAACCAAGGACCAGGCCAGACACCAGCGGCATGCTGTTGTTATTGTCAATGCTTGTTGAGTCTGTTGTCCTCATCCCCCTTGGTAGGCAGCCACACTCTTCTGTAACCATTGTCACGCTCTGCACTGCACCCGAGTCCCTGAAGGCGTGAAAAGTTCTTCCATGTGCTTGTGCCTTTTCTTCCTCCCCCCTCTAGAGTTGACAGCCCTCTCCAGCCTTTTTCCCTCATCCGCTCACTGTACATGAGCTGGTTAGGTCCACCGTGGGAGCATCCAGTGCTCCTCTGTCTCCTAGGGATTATCCGGTTCCCTCTGTAGATGATTAGAGTCCTCATTGTACTTTTTCTCCTAGTCTAGCAGGAGATGCTAAGCTCCTTGACGGGGGTGGGGTAGGGTGGGGTGGGGCTGGTGTCTTCTTAACCCTGTGACTGATGAGGAATAGTGTTTAATAAACGTTTATGGTGTGAAAGTTTTCCAGATTTTCTAGGGCCATATTCTACTCTAAAACTTATTTTAAGATCTAACTCTAATATAAACTCTAAGCTATACACTAAACACTTGTATTCCTAGCATACAAGAATGGAATTCTTTCTATTGACAGGTGAAAGCAGTTAGCTTGTTGGTTAGTGATACCACATCCTTCAAGCAGTTTTGTCTTACTTCATTAGGTGTGAGGTTGTGATTAGTGCATGTAATTGGAAATGAAAATATACTCTGCAGTGGTTTAGTGGACTCCATCTGTGGGCAGAATCTGTTCCATCATCTGTTTTTGTAAATAAAGCTTTATTGCTGTGCAGGCCTGTTCGTTTGTTCGTGTCTGTGACTGCTTTCAGATTGCTATGGCCGAACTGAATGCTTGTCCCAAATACAGAGCCTGAAAAACAAAGTATTTACTGTCTGGACCCTTCCAGGAAAAAAATTCTTAATGACTATTCCAGTATGAAGAAAGGAATGTATCAGTATTTCTGTTTGATAATATGTGTTTAGAATCAGTATAATACAAACTAAATGCCTAGGTTCTGTGAGTGAAAATACCAGAATATCAGCATGTTTCCTTAATGCTGGTTTCATTTTATACTCAGTTATTGGTCTAAAGCTTTTCTGTTAACAAGGTAAGATGTTTTGCTTGGGGATAGCTGTGGCTACGTCTCTACTTCTGCATAATTGTCGTAATGCAATGCTGGATGGTGGCCACGTGGCCCAGTACTGCCAGTAAGGGAGATTTGTAGTCTTGCCCTTAAACTGGCCTCCAGGTCTCATCCAAGACTGGAGTTCTGTTCTGGAAGGATGGTTTCCATGTCTCAGGGAGGTTTATGTTTGCAACTGTTGCTGTTCTCTTGGGTGAGAAAGGGTATTGAAAATAAGCCCTAAAACTGCTGTGTAGAAGAAGAAAGTTATGTAGAATGGACTTTATTTGATTTTCGTCAATGTGAGGCTACCACTTTGTAGAATACTAAACACAGAGTAGTACAGGCTACTTAGGGCCGGCCACTTGAGAAACTGTTATTGATTCTGTCCTAATGCCAAACCGAAACTTGTTTAACTAGTTAGTGTATGGTGGTGCCAGCCTGAAATCTCAGTACTAGAGGATTGCCACAAATCCCGCCTGGTCTTCTGAGCATGTTCCAGGCCACACCCCATTTTGAAAAAAATGAAAACAGAAACAGTTCATTTAACAGCTCTTAAAAAGAATGAAACTCAAACAGCTTTTGTTTGCTTGGTTGCTTTTCATTTTAATTAATTTATTTTTATTTATGTGCAGTGGTGTTTTGCCTGCATGTATGTCTGTGCAAGGGTGTCAGATCCCCTGGACTTGGAGTTACAGACAGTTGTGAACTCCCATGTGGGTACTGGGAATTGAACCCAGGTACTCTGGAAGACCAGCCAATGCTCTTAACCACTAAGCTATCTCCTCGGTCCCTGTTTGCTTACTTTTAAAAGACAGTCTCACTGTGCAGATGTGACTGGCCTAGATGTAGATCAGGCTAGCCTTAAACTCAGCTGACTCTGCCTTCCAGTGCTGGGATTAAAGGGCCTCAGTTTTCAAACATTTTAACAATATTAATTTGATAGTTTCATACTGAGGAATGACTAGGAAACATAAAAAGCTTTCTTTTTTTGTGTAAGATTTATATATAGAGAGTTTTCTGTCTGCATGCTTGCCTGCTCACCAGAAGAGGGCATCAGATCTTATAGATGATTGTGAGCCGCCATGTGGTTGCTGGGAAATTCAGGACCTTTGGAAGAACAGTCAGTGCTCTTAACCTCTGAGCCATCTCTCCAGCCCAAGAGGCCTTACTTTCTATAACTAAATGATTATGCTTCTAGGAGAGCAGAAAACTTTGTATGTATGGTAAAAGTACTATGGTTCACGACATGCAGGTGTTCTAGGCCGTGTTTCTTGGGTTTTGTGGTCCGAGGCATCTGCTGGGGAAGCAGCATGGGACAAGGATTGCCAGAAACATCTCAGATTCATGACACTGCTTCATTTGGAACTAAGTTTTGGTCATTGGGTGTTCAGAAGTATTTCACTGCTATCAAAATTTTCTCTGCCTCCACATTCAGTCCCATGACCCCATGTAGGTCCTGAGTTACAGTTTAAGAAGCTGGGACTTGTTGAGGGAAGGCATACTAGCGGCTTGCTAATGTATGGGGTGGAGTGCTTGGTCATCAGTCTGTTCTACAGTGAGAGTGGAGAGACTTGGCTGTGAAGCCTTGGCATTTACTAAGTTGAGTTATCTTGGGGAATTAGGTTTGCTACTTCATTCCTTTTGTGCTGGATAACTTCACAGTTGACTTTACAAATGCAACTGTAACTTCTTCCATGCTTGGGCAATAAGTCTTCCAGGAAAGAAATGGCAGGCTGGACTTTTCTTGCAGTTTGGAATGTAGTAAGACTGTAACACATTGGAAAACTGTGACTGGGGACTGGAGAAATGACTCAGTTAAGAGCACTGACAGATCTTCCTGAGGTCCTGAGTTTAATTCCCAGCAACCATCCACATGGCTCACAGTTATCCATAATGAGGTCTGGTGCCCTCTTCTGGCCTTTAGGCATACATGCAGGCAGAAAACTATATAATAAATAAATCTTTTTTTAAAAAAGAAAGAACTGTGACTAATCAACTAATAAAGGCTGTTTGCTTATTCTGGAGATGGAAGTCAGGGCCTGGTGCCTGTGAGGTGAACTTCCCCAGTGAGCCACATCCCACCAGTGTGGGTTCCTTTTTATTCCCATTACAGACTGCTGAGCGCCATAAAGGAGTTAGGTATAATGGCCCTAACTTTGTCTGGGATCTGCAATCAGGCATTCTATAACTTTCCAAATGCAAACCAAATTTTTGTCTTACAGATGTTGGTTGTGGCTGGGCGGTGGTTGTGCACGCCTTTAATCCCAGCACTCGGGAGACAGGCAGGCAAACCTCTGTGAGTTAGAGGCCAGCCTGGTCTACAGAGAAACCCTGTCTCGAAAAACCAAATAAACAAACCAAGAAGATGTTGATTTTGATCAGCTGGTTTATCTTTTCTGGTTTTTATTTATTTATTTATTTATTTATTTATTTATTTATTTATTTATTTATTATTTATACAGTGTTCTATCTGCATGCCAGAAGAGGGGACCAGATAGAATTAGGTGGTTGTGAGTCACCATGTGGTTGCTGGGAATTGAACTCAGGACCTCAGTGCTCTTAACCACTGAGCCATCTCTCCAGCCCCAATCAAAATATTCTTAAAAAAGTGAACTCAAGACAAATTAAACTAGAGAGTTTGCTGTGAGCCATGTCTCGTGAGAAGGTCTTCACAGGTAAGGGATATAATCAGGCGGGTGATCTGACACTGATGAGGGCTGAGGAAATGGTAGACATGGAAATAGTAGATTCATTCTCACCAGTTTTAAGTCTTTTAAGAAGATAATTCTTTTTTTCTCATGTTTGTAGAATGGTTTTATTATGATACAATCCATCAAAACTTTTTATGCATACACATATAATCAAAACTGCCCTCTTGAAATAAGCATTCAAATTTCTCCAAAAACAAAATTAAGATGTTGTATTCTTTCCAAGCTACTAATATTTGGTAATGGCAATTCTAACTCTTAACATTACCTGAAAATAGTTGACCTTCTGTATAAAAGCAAAGTTGTACCAAACTTGTTCTTTTGGAATTCTCCTAGTCTGCAAAATTATCATGTATAAGAATAAAATTGAAATGCAAAGATTTAATATATGACTTACGCACAGTAAAATTCACAAAGTTGCAAGCATACATTTTATATTTTTGCACTACTCTAACCACAAAATGTATAAAGGTTGTCATGTTAGGTATTTTGCAACCTGTATGATGATGTTCCAAGATTGAATAATGCTAAAGAAAAGCATTGCTTATTAAATATTTGATTAAAAATATTTATCTCTATTAACATTACCACAGGAAGGACATGTTACCAAATTATGATATCACACAGGGCAGTTTTAGACAGTACTCAGAGACGCCTCTTTTCCTCCATATTGTTTGAAATCTTTGTTTTCAGCTTCTTGTTCAGCCTCCACCTTGTTTTCATCATTTCCTTCACTTTTAACCTCTTTTTCTTTGCCTTCTTCCTCCTTTCTCTCTTCTTTCCCATCATCTTTTTCCCTTCCGTCTTCCCTACTCTGGCCTTCCTGTTCATCTTCCTTATTTTCCTCTTTGCATTTTCCACCTTCCTCTTCTTTATCCTCTCTCTGTTCTTTAACTTCTTCCTCGGTTTCAGCTTCTTCTTTGTCATCTTTCTCTCCTTCCGTCTTCCCGTCCCCTTGCTCCTCTTTGCTGTCTTCTTTTTCATCACCTCCTTTGCCTCCACCATCTTTGTCCTCTCTTGCATCCTCACTTCCTCCTGCCTCTGGTTTCTCTTCCAGGCCGTCTTCCCTGTTTTCATCTTTCAGCTCCTCACCTTTATCTCTGTCCTCTTCTCCATCTTCATCTTTCTCTGTACTTTGGATGTTTTCTTCTAGCTCATCATCTTTTCCTTCTGCCGCGGCTTCTTTCTTTTCTCCTCCGTCTTCTTCAGCATCTTCATTCATCTCTTCTTTTACTTCCTCCGCTCCCATCTTTTGAGTGGGTGCCTCCACAACTTTGGCTTCTCCATTTCCAGCCTTGTCCGTGTTGCACGCCTCCTGAACACCTTCGGGTTTGCTCTCAGGAACTGTTACAGCATCTGCATCCTTGTTTTCTTCCGCTACAACATTTGTGTTCTTCATTTTCCTTGGAGTTGATGTTCTTTTAGGTCTCAGCTCTGGTGTAAAGGGCACAGGCACAGCAGACAGTCGGGCTGATCTTCTCTTTGGCTCCTGACTGGCATCGCTTGCAGCCTTTCTTTTGGGCATTGTTGCAGCTCTCCAGGAGATCCTTAGACAGAAGGAAAAAATGCCTAGAGCAGTCTCCGTAAAGGTGTGAGCCACTATCTGGCTATAAGAATATTCCTCAGTGGCCTCGTATGCAGTTGAAGATATTGTACAGCTCCCAGCAACCAAAATGGGACAGAGCAAATGTTAGCGTGTGCGGAGCCCTGCAGTTTGCAGTCCTGCAAGAGAGAAAGCAGCATTCATATAAGTGAAGAACAGTTTATAGTATGTAATACAGAATAAATTTTTGTCTGCTAGTAAAAGACAGGAAGGGCATGTTGGGATTCATGCAAAATGTAGGATTGTAGATTTAATTATCAGCTACTGCATTAGATATATTTAGTGTTAGCAAAACTTTTCAGGTCTTGTCGTCAAAGTAGGATGTGTTGAAACTGTTCTACTGTTGTGTGAGTAGCTGCAGACAGTACAACAGGGCTGAATGCAGTTATGTCTAGAACTTTGTACATAATAAAATTTGATTGCCTGTAATTATCATTTGTCATAAAACACTTTACTTTTCCACCAAATTCAACTCTTTTTTTTTTTTTTTTAGTAAATTTTATTAAATTATAAAAGTTTCCATTTCCGCCCCCCCTCCCA